TCTTCTTCGATGTGTTGGCCTTGGATTTTCCACCTTTCATCTTCGAAACTGCTAAGTCACCTACCAACAACCAATCAAGCACCCGAAGCAGCAAGTAGCAAACACCACAAATCAGCCGGAATAGAAAATCTTACCTAGGGTTAGGGTTTCTCTCCGCGTCGAGCTGGTAAGGTCGGCTGGAAGTGGGAGAGCGAAGAGCAATAAGAAGGAGAGGAGGAGGGCTAGTGAGAGAATTAGATGCAATAGACGAAGGGCCAGCAAGGGGCCGAAGGAAATTTGGGCGGGATTTGAAAGCTGTATGCCACGTCATCGATCCGTGTGCTGCCTTTCTATTGCTAGATTTCTTAGTGTTTTCCTAAACACTTGTTCTTATTAAGCGGATGAAGGGCAGACGCGGCGCTACGTGGCGATGAGCGTCGATTGACGGTGGATACCCGCCACGTGTAGACTTTCGTGTTTTTCTTAGCACTTGAGATTGATGTTATTTACGGAAATGGCATCGGGGTAAGTTGGGTACTATAAGGCGGGTTGCGGTGCATTGTGCCGCGGAAAGTGGATGATTAACAATGGTCGGAAGATCTGGTGCGTTCGTTCTCGTTACGAGATGGGGACCAAGAGCGAACGGTGGATGATTGGGGAAATGTCTTATGAACGGCTCTGGCTGTTCGTACGTAAATGACAGTAATATAATCTAATTTGATTGAAATTTTTCAGTCGCCCTGATGATCTAGATTCACAAATTAATATAGAAAAAAAAATTTATTGCCAAATTTGTGTTAGAATGCATTTATTAATTATAAATTTAATTTAAATTTAATAAAAAATATGAAGAATATATATCACAATAATTATAATAAGTTTAATAAGTTTAAAAAGTCACATTTTAAAATAGTAGTCTTTCTTTTTTTTTTCATTTTACAAGATAGAATTATTATTGGCTTGATCACTAGTTGATTTAACATGAGCAACCTTCTGGGAATCAGTTGACATTGTAAAGACAACTTATAGCTCAAATAATCTTCGATGTTGATAAGGTCTCGATCCTAATGATGCTCAAATCTTCAAGCAAAGATGAGATTGTGTGTAGGGCTCGTCTTTCAAAAGAAAGTTAATGGTTCCCTTCACTCTTTTTTTCTCGAGTGGAGGTTTCTAAGACTTCTTCTCTTCTCAATTTTCTTCTCTCGAGTTGGACCTTTTGTTGTTCCTTATGTTATTAGCTTCTTCTTCTTTCGATTGATTAATTTATGTGCCTAAGAAACTTCCTCCCTCTTCTTGATTACATTGTTATTTGATATATGTTGATCTATTTCGGTTTCGAGCAGAGTGAATCGCCTGAAAAGTTCTATAATGACCACAAAAAAAGAAAGAAATATGTTCTTTAGTTTTACCTATTCTACTTAAAACTTCTTCCAACAATTTGTGGTGTTTCTTGTTCGTTCTTCCATTAGTGAATGTTAATTCTTGCGTTTATATGTTGCAGAAGTCTTCCATAGATCAACAAAGCACCATCGATATGGTATGGATCGCAATGATGCTCGAATCTTCAAGTAAAGATATGTTTGCTAAGGTTGTCTTTGAAAAAAAAAGGTTGGTGGTGGTCAATGAGAGTCAGTGAAGGTTAGCAATAGTTGATTGCAACATGAGTGGTGTTGCACTTCGGTTTGTCCTCTAAACTTCAAGTTCTTTCTCAAGCCTCAAACCCCCCCCCCCCCCCCC